TTTGCAAAATAGCCATTCTACATGATGAGAACTTTAAGTACATTTTGATGCGAATACTTTTGTTCTCGTACTTGAATGACAGACTAGCTTGTATTTTCACACTGTGGTATTATTACTTTTACTGAGGTTAAAGATCTGAGTATTTGTCCACCTCTGTTTATCACTCTCTACATAATCATCTGGAGGTCATTGTATCTGATGTTGTTTCAAAGGGTCCAGTTTATCAGCGCTGGACAGAGCAGTGTTTGAGAGGGGCTCAGAGAGATGGAAACGGCAGAGTCACAGCTCTCTCCTTTCACTCCAATCTGTCAAAGTTAAGCTCTGCTCGCCTTTCACACTCACATGGCTGAGGGTCGTCTTCATTTGTCCCCCAGGTCACAGAAACACGCTCAGATACAACTCTAAACATAGGGCTGCACAGCTAGGCGGAATGGAGTGGTGCAGGAATGAGTCCTAAACTTGAAATGAGTCTGCATTTCAGCACTTCCTGTTCCCTCGTCTGGAAGTCACTGTTTTTTTTAATATGTTTTAGTTTAGAAGCCTGAAAAGAGGTTTGTGGTTGACACAAGCTGAAGATATTTTAACTTTTTGTTCTACAACATAACATACGTCAGTAAATACCCCACTGGTGAGGTTTCTTAAAATCGCTGGTCGCAAAAAATGTGTCTAAATTAGACGACTAAATGCCATCACACTCAACATTAGCCACCTTTAGCTTAGCGCTGGTGACGTGAAGTCATGTGACCATGCTTTAGTTCCTTTATAGCCCAACATCAGCCTCCTTTAGCTTAGCGGTGGTGATGTGAAGTCACGTGACCGTGCTGTAGTTCCTTTATAGCCCAACATTAGCCACCTTTAGCTAAGCGGTGGTGACGTGAAGTCATGTGACCGTGCTGTAGTTCCTTTATAGCCCAACATTAGCCACCTTTAGCTTAGCGGTGGTGACGTGAAGTCATGTGACCGTGCTCTAGTTCCTTTATAGCCCAACATTAGCCACCTTTAGCTTAGCGGTGGTGACGTGAAGTCATGTGACTGTGCTCTAGTTCCTTTATAGCCCAACATTAGCCGCCTTTAGCTTAGCGGTGGTGACATGAAGTCACGTGACCGTGCTCTAGTTCCTTTATAGCCCAACATTAGCCTCCT